TCGAGACTCTGACGGAGCTAAGGACACAAACACAACAACAGTTATACAACACACAGGCCAGACTAAAACATAAAGACATTCTGAGTGATCAGACTGAATAACTTACCTTGCGTGGCTGCACAGACACCCACGGCTGCTCCTTCATTTGATCAATTTGCTCCCAGACCTTGGAGAGCTCAGACCACACCTCCTTCAGGTCCTGCAGCTCTTCCAGGGCAACCTATAGGTAACCAGATAAAAGGAGAAATGTAATACATGTATTTTTATCTTAAAAAAATAATTAAAGTCAGAGCTAAAAAGCACAACTTTACCTGCACTCTCTCCTCACTGGCACTGAACAGACCAGTATCAGTCAGGTCCAATGCCTCCTTGGCACGAGCGCACTTCTCCCTCTCAACCTTCAGGCGGCTGAAGTTGCCTTCGTAGATGGTCAGAGACTGAAGAGCCTCCTCTGGACGCAGGTTTCCCTGTTGGTGACAGGTTGTTAAACAAAAATAAAAAAAAAGAGGCAAAGATGGCATTGTTCACTGTAAAATCCATTTGTGTACTTCACATGTCATAAATCTAAAAATCCATGTATCTTTAAACTAAACTATGAATCTATTATCTTTAATCCATAGATTTAGAGTTTTGACTCTTACAGCAGTTGGTTTGGTCTTCTCCCAGTCGTTGAGCAGGTCAGTGGTTCGGTTCTCCACAGCTTTGTCCTCCTGGACGATCTTCATCTGCAGGTTGGCCACCTGCTGCTGGATGGCAGTGTCCTTGCGTTTCATGATGTCACTGAAGGCGCCCCATTCGCCTTCAATGTTGTCAATGTAGAGCCAAGAGGGCGGGAACTGGAATCTCTGCTTCTCCAGCAGACGCTGTCCATTACGGAAGAGCTTGAGGTAGAGAACCCAAACAGAACTTTAAATTAAGAACACCTTGAGAACACAGTTGGAACAGAGAAGAGAAAAAAAAGCACATAAGCGTTGCACTGCTGTGCACTTACATCGACATTTTTCTCAAACTGCTTTATCTTGCGCTTCAGTGTCTGGACGTAAGTGATGAAGTTGACAGCATCAGAAGTGCTGGCCGTGTCCACGGAGTGTTGCTCCAGATCTTGACGTGACTTTAAGACACAGGGTTAGCATAGTTAGATATTGACAAAAACATGGTTGGAAAACACATGACTATATATGGCATCTTGCATTACCTTTGAGATCTGGGCATGGAAATCCTGCATGTTCTGTCCAAGCATCTGACCAAACTTGCTGAGGACTTCTTTGTGCCACGAGTCATATTTCAGGTTGACCTTTGATTGGACCTGTTTTTTGTTTTTTTGGGAGGGAGTGGGAGTTTAGTGAAGTTAAAGCTTAGTAAAACAAAGTCTCTGCTCTCAAATCTACAGGTAAACCCAAGATTATTTCTACCTTTCCATAGTCGATGACCACAGGACCAAACTCTTTCCGGGTCTCTGCGTTGTCAAATGTCCCTCGTGCTTTTCGGATTTGGACCAGCAGGGCCTGCCACTTGGTAAGATCTTCACCCAGACGGTTGTAGATGTTTTCAGCCTGCATGTCCCACAGACACTGGTACTGTAGCCACACCTAGGGAAAGGCAAAACAAAGAGGTCAAGGGTTTAGAATGACTGTAAGAAAGGTTTAAGTTAATGTAGATGTGGGAGGTTAGGAAAATCAATCGGCACAAAAGACAACAACCAACAGTCAAGCATGCTTCGACAAACATACAGAGATTCTTACCTTGACGTATTGCTCCACCTCACCTACAATGTCTTCAACTGCATTGTAGGCCTCCTCAATGGCTGCAGGACCATCAGGCATTCTGGTCAGGGCATTTCTGTAGAACTTCTCTTCCTCTGACAGCTCATAGTGGACACCCACCTTCAAAGAAAGGACAGAACAATAGTTTGTAGGTGTGCAAGCAACAGCAATAGATTATTAATATCTAAATATACATTTTAAGATCTCTTTGTAGCAAGACTCAATTATACAATCATTTATAATCACCTGGTATCTCTGACTCTGAATCCTGGGAAGAGAAATGATGACATTCTTCCAAGCAAACATCTCCTGGTAGAGTTTGTAGCGACAGTCTTCGATGGGTGGATTCAGATAGATGACCTGGTTTGTGATTCTCAGCTCATGGACAACGTTCTAAAGGAAAGAAATGTATTGCAGAACTCTATAACCACACAATTTGTCATCCAGGTATGAGCAATAATGAAAAATATGAAACAAAGCAAAGAATGCAATTTCACCAGGGCCAAACATGTACCTTAATCTTGGGCTCCCCTCCAGGTTTGTGGCTCACTTGTGGAGCCTCTGTGTCCATGTCTACATCAGCCTTGTCCTCCACCTGGCCACGGAGCACCTGAGTCCAGGCCTTAAGACCAGCCTGCAGACGGACTCCCAGGATACGTTCAATCTAGGTAAAAAAAACCCCAATATATCATTTTTAAAAAAACAATTCCTAAGTGGTACATTTCTTAGGCTCTAGTTATCAAGTTACACCAACCTCAATGTCCAGTTTGTTGACCCAAATGGGCAGGTTGGAATAGGAGTGCAGGTTAAGGTCATCCACCGCCTTCTGTACTCGGTTAAGGATGTCAGTGAAAGTCTTGTGGTCAAACATGCAAGTGTCCAGGGAGCGAACCTCCAGGTCTATTTTCTCCTCGATCAGCAAGAGGTCATCCACCTATAAAAAGCATAAAAGGTCAAACTCAGTTGGAAACATTCAACATTTTGTTTTAAAATGGAATAATAACCGTTTTTCCACAGACCTTTTCCTGGAAGTTGAACACTGTCTCAGCCAGCCTCTGAACATAAGGGTCCAGCTTGTAGGACTCCCAGACCAGAAGGACACCTTCATTGATGAGTGCCTGAACCTCCTTCTTCAGTCCAGCCACCAGTAATGAGATAGAAGACCTCTCCTCCACCTTCTCACATGTGCGCTCATAGGTACGAACGCTCTCAATCAATGAGATGGCAAATGGATACAGCTGGTTGGCCTGATGGGCTTTGTTGACGATGGCCAGAGGAACACGGAAGCTGAGCCACTTGAGGTTGCGGACTTCTTTGGACAAAGTGATGATCTCTGGAAGGAAGTTGACTTTGAGCTTCAGCATGTTTCCAGTGCGTCCTCTGGCACGTGTGCTCTCGATAGTGAAGATGCGGCCCGAGACTCCAAGGTTGCGCTGCTGCACTTTACGGGCCCAATCGTCAAAGATCTCCTGAGTGTTGAGTTTGGCCCTGAAGCTGTCTCCATCCTGCTTCAGCTTCAGCCCCTCCACGTGATTCTCCCAGCCCTTTCCCAGGACATCTTCCACCCTCTTCATGTATGCAGTCAGCTGTCGGTCGATCTGCTTGGCCCAGATAATGGATCCAGACACAGGTGGCAGGTCGCGGACATGGCTCATCTTGCAGGCTTGGCTCTGTGGATACTGCACCTTGAATTTGTCATGCAAGGACTCTATGTCATCCTTCACCCGTTGGATTAGCTGTGTCTGGTATTCTCGGATGGCGCCACGGATGTGAGGACGCACAAACAGTGCATTGAAGCGGGAGAAGATGCGGAACATCTCGTTGGCATTCTTGGCAGTTCCCAGCTGATCACGCAGGCGAGCAGTGATACGGGTCTCCACGCGATCGATGCGTTCATCGTAGCGTTTCATAGCAGCTTCCCAGGCTTCCATGCCCTCCTTGGAGACATCCAAACCATCGACCTCTTTGACATTCTCATATGCCAGGTTGACCTCTTCAATAGCATTGGCATCAGCTGCATCAAACAGGACTCCTGCTACCTTCATGTCCTGTGGCTCAACTGTCTCTCCAGGAGTATGCTGAGGCACAGCAGAAACCTGGACACAAACAGTGCATGAAAGAAAATTCAGTAAACAAAAGAAAATGAAGTTGGTGATCCGCTGAAAAAGAGTTTAAATTCTACCTGAGGTCTGAGCACACGGACAATGACAGCTCTCAGCTGCTCGTGCTGTCTTCTGAAACGTCTCATGTGATCCAGTCGTGACTGCAGCTTCCTGTGAGCAGGACTGAGGCGCCAAACCATCTTCAGGTTCTCCTCTCGCTTTCGCTTCACAATGTCCCTGAGAAGCACCTGGAGTTTCTCATACTCATCCTCCCAGGTCTGGAACACCTCGAAGCAGGCCACCATCACCTGCAGACAGAATTTTAAAAATGTAAAATTTCATAAGTTGAAGCAATCTCAGGGTTTCCGCCGTGTACATTAAGCAGCAGCAGCCACGGCCTATTAATTGCCACCACAGTCTCGGACACACAATAAAAGTCTACTTGTTACAGTGAAAATACCCTCCCTGAAACACTGAATCTTGTACATAAAGACACTCTGGATTTAGATGCAACTATACTAACCTTTTCAAATTCTTCATAGGCAATGTGCATGAGCTTCCTTGTGCCAAGAACCTTGAGAAGCTGAGAACTTAGGTCTCTGGAGATGGCCTCGACCAGACGCAGAGCTCTCTGGATGGGATACTTGGTGTTTCTAATTTTTTTGAGGTGAGTGAATATTGCCATAAGAGCCTGACGGATCTTGTCGAGCTCAGAGGCAGAGAGCAGGTCATTGAGAGGGAAGTCCTTCATCAGAGGGTTGTAGTCGTTGACTGTTTCCACAGCCTGCTTTAAACCTGGGACAAGTAGAAGAATGACAAGAAATCTGTTTATTGGTGAAAGTATTAAAAGTATGAGGGCTTTATAGTCAACGAAGAGTAACTATTACCCACCGGTGTCTGTGTCAAAGCTGACTGTAGCGTGGAAACGCTTTCCGTGTTTGAGAATATCCAGGGTGAGCAGAACCTCTGGGCTCTCCCTCTTCTCCTGTATCCTGTTGAGAGCTCGTTCCAGATTCAACCAGAAGCTTATCTCTTGCAAGGCGGTACCAGAAGCAGGGTCACGGTCAAGTTTTGTAACCTAATGAAGAAATTAGTGGAAATGACAAAACTCACTTACATGAAAATCACACACAACAAATAATAGGTTTTAGGGATAATTATAAAAATCCTTCTCGCCTTTTGGATTTCTCTGATCCATCGGTTGACTCCTGATTGGAGTTGATTCAGGAAAGTTGGATCTTCAACTTTGTCGCCAAAGTCCGTGACCTTGGGCTTCTCTCCACGCTCGTAGCACTGCTTGGCAACGTTTGCAATGCTCAGGTGGATGAGCAGGTTGATTTCCGGAATCTCAATGTTCTGCTGCAGGTGCAGAAGTCCCATCTCCAGCTCGGCAATCTTCTTCTCCACAGAGGGAGCCATCTTATCGCCATCTCTGAAAGGTCAATGATGAAGATTACCAGGGTTCACAAAAATTTCCATCAACATATACAATAAATGTCATATGAGACATATTGATGATTACCTGTCTGCCTTTCCAGACTCACGGATATAGGACTTGAAGAAAGGTGCAACAGCATTGCTGATGAAAGAGTGGAGAGTTTCGTAAGGAGAATCTTCGCTCAGGGTCAGAACACGAACTTGGGTAGAGATTGGTTTGTCTGCATCAATGACTCCTGTCCTCTTGATTAGAGCCAAGCTGTGGGAATGGAAAAAGGTTGAGTACACTCATTTAAACTCGCCAACCATCTTTCCCAGCTTCTTACCTGTTGGACTTGATGCCATAGTGTATGTCAATGCTGATGTTGTAGGTAATGCACTCTTTTTCCTCTTCACCTTCATCGCCAACATCCTCTGTGTGAGCAACAAATTGATATTTTTATCAAAATTATTGTAAACTGTATCGAAGCAGAATGGCTGGTGGTCCAACACAGTTGATAAACTGAATGTATCTCTATGCACACATTACGTTGTGCGCAAAAATAGACTTGGATACAATAACCATATCAATAAACTGTAACTTGTTAATATTGGATGTTTACCATATTCAAAATATTTAAAAATATATTAATAAAATTGGTAAGAATGTGTATTGCTGTCATCTGCGCTCTCCAAAAGGAATCTAGCTGTATCATCATCCCCACCCTTTTTTACAATTCAGGTCTGAAAGATGACATCTGCAGACAAAGTATCTGCATTGCAGTAGTGTTGTCACTACAGACTGATCTGGTGATCTAAAAACACACATGACTGAGCCTCTGTGGCCTTGTTAGCCTGCTGGTCATGTGCAAAAGCAATAGGGTCGTTGTTCTGTTTTCATAAATCATAATATATGAAACTGTGCTGAGAATGAGATTTAGTTCTGCTCCAGGAGGAGAACAATGTGCTCATTGACATAAGCTGATTCACATGAAAATCAAAAATATGAAGAAAAGAAAATTATTTTGAAACTTGTTTTTCCCAATAATTTTCTTTTCTGACTCCTACCAATTATATATAATTTCCTCTCGCAAAAACACATTGGTATTCCTTGTTTATATTTGTGAGATAATGCCCTCTATTCGTATTTAATTACATGCTGATACTGGTATTGGCAGCTGTTTCACTTATCATACCAATCTTAAATTTGTTTAGAAACCAACTCTGTACAGTTGGACAATCACCCAAAGCACTGAAGTGATACTTTTATTTTGAATGTTATATTACTTGTGTGGCCGCAACAATTACTCTAATTAATAATAATCAATTACTAGTAATCAACTATTAAGAACATCATTTTATCACTTTTCTTAACTCAGTCTGCAAATTCTCATAGTTGTATTGCTTATAAAACATTTTTTAGTTTTGTGTATAATTGATATTTTTATGATAGATTAAAATGTGTAACTTGCTGGATATGATTAGATCAAAGGCCACAACTAAAAATGTCATCACTGATTGGTCAGACAGGCTTTATTGAGTATAAAATAAATTATATATAATAATAAATGCATTAACTATCATAAATCCATTATTTATTTAGCACAAGTAAAATATACCACAATAGACATCGACTGCTAATAATTGTTGGTGTTGAGATTCTGTCGTAAAGGATGAGACATGAACATGTGGATGCTGACATAAATAATTGAAAATCGCTTTGTTCTATAGGACTGGATGTTTATTCTACTTAACATGATTTAAGAAGCATTCCTGATTCATTCTTTTATGTCGGTCAAGTTGACATTAAAATCGCGTTTGAATAAATGGCTACACCATTGAAGATGTGCTACCCAACTAACGAGGAACACCTTTTGTTTCCGATAACGTAATTCCTTTCCTCCACCCATTGTGGCGCAGTTTCCCAGTTTACTAGAAATGAAACTGATGGTACTACAACTAGGAGAGGATAAAATCGTTGTTGAAAAACTGGCTGTACATTAAAACTAACTTGGATTAACAGATCATAGAGGTGTTATAGGAGAACGACATGATAACAGTGAGTTGTGTTCTTCACTAATGAAGCACTGGTCGAGAAGAAGTGCTGGTAAGAAATTTTAAACTATTCAAAATAATAAATACCTTTAAGTGCACTTCTCTCGACCAGGACGGTGTGAATTTGAGGGTCAGAGAGGAATTTCCTCATCTGCTCCACGGCACTCTTCTCCTCTAGGGCGGTTTCCAGCGAAGCCGGGGCCTCGCCGCCATCTTCCAGAAGCAGCGGCACTAGTTTGCGAATATGCTTCTGAAGCAGCAATGGGTCGGCGACTGTCTGGACAGCAGAAACCTCCATTGTGCCGGAGTTTTCATCCGCCCCGCCGCCGTCGGACATTCTGCGAAGCGGTCAGCGGCGACTCGTTCACTGCGAGACTGACTTGTCAAAGAAAAGAGAATGACGTGATAGAATTACACTGCAACAGCGCCCTCCGAACCGGACAGTCGCTGACTGCTGCTGTCAAGACGCCGCAATGCTGGCTCTTGGGCTTTATGCGCACAATGGATTGTGGGACTCGATGTTCAAATGTTATGCATTTCATTGGAAAGGTCCCGTTAAAAACTATTTTTCCCATAATGCAACCGTGCACTACCCCCTTGTTTTAACCATTGACTACAGATAGGGGGAGCAAAGGAGTTGTCTCCCTAGAATGATACGACAGTAAACCCATTGGTGCATATGTTGAATTATTACAGAGTAACTAACAACGTATTGTGATAATGACATTTTGAAAGGACATGTTTGGTCCTGGGAATCTATGACTCACAAAAGACTGCACCGATTACACGCCTGACGAAAAAACTTGAATATGCGTATGAAACGGACCTTACAATGGAAATCACGCAATGATTATTAATCGTCGCTAGGGTGAATTACGCTTTGTATTCACACGTTCAATTAGCAAGAATGAAGTGTGTCGTTGTTTTAGCAATATTGAGCCGAAAGAGGGAGCCAAAGTTTCAGAAACTAATGTAATTCAGAACACTTGATGCCATTGTATTGTTTTTACGTTCTCTGTAAAGATGCTGATGTTTCCCATGGAAGAAAGATAAAAGACATTTAAAAGGGTTCCTGGTACACATGTGTACAAAGGAGAAAAAAGTCACAGTCAATTGCTTTTACGCAACACCCATAGACACGATATATGTGCTTTTGGCAATTCATTTTCCTTTTGCCAATTTCCATAGAGGCAAACAGACGAAACGTGTTCAGTGCGTCACTCACAATCTTAATCGTTTGAATTTCAATGGGCAAATACAACTAAAATCGTTGGAGGTTACTTAATTAGCAAGTTAACGGATATCCGTATATAGTATTATATGAGGTAAAAGAAAAGCATTGTTATAATAGCACAATGCAACAAGAAACGTAAAAAGACAAAATGAGTGTATAGTGGTACAGCATTATAGGATCTAGTATACAAAATAAGTGTTTAACGTTAACTAAATACAAAATCTAAATACGGATATATGAAGAATAAAGGGTCAAATAACTTATGAAGAAATACAAAAGAACTGCAACCCTAACAAACAGTACGATGGTCAGTCAGAGATTTCAAGTGTTGCTTTTTAATTGTTTAAATAATTAAAAGGGAGAGATTTAATCAGGGTGTTTAGTTCCTTCAGAAAATGAACGATTTTAGGTATTGAATCAGCAAATCATTCCATCTCAAAGAAGAAAAATTAGGAAATGACGCAGTGACAAACTTGCTAGTGTCCCAGTTTGGACGCAAGTATTTAGTTCCCTATTTATTATTATTTTCGCGAGATGAGTAATAATTTCACTGTTTTACATTCTTTATTTTATTTAAATTGAAGGGTTTGGGTTGTTTTCATTGGTTGGTATTTGAGCATAGATCATAACGGTTATTTTGTCATTTTAGAAACAAGAAGAATCACATAATTCGTGGGTCACCAAATCTTCCGTTACACATGTCCAGCATCCGGGTGACGGCTCGCAGCGCAGACTCAATCCCTGCTGCAGCTCACTGCGTTTCCGTAGCACAGCCTGCTACCCGCTGAGCACTGGCTGCTGAGGGGAAACAGCTCTCGGAAACCATTGATCCCGTTCGAATAACGCCAAAGCTGGGCAGATAAATGGCGGATTAACACTTGTAACAGAGAGGACTGGCTTGATCCATGATCGTGACTTGGGTGCCTAGTGGGGAGTGCGTTGGCAACACCCACCGTAACATGTGAGATGTCCACAGAAGGATATTAAGTGTGCGTTATTTCTGCTAACCAGCTAGCATCGGCTGCCCCCTCCTCTCCCTTCTCTATCCAATTTATGGTAGCTGCCTTCATCTGTTTGCTCTGTTACTGTCGCGTCTGCTGTGGAGGAAAATGAAGAAGTTTAACATTAGGAAGGTGCTGGACGGTTTGACAGCGGCGTCTTCCTCCTCCCCCTCCTCCGCCGCTGCTCAGCCGGGTACTCCAAAGGAAAACGACGCTGTCCAGGAGACTCTCCAGTCCGAGAATTTTCAGCTTTGCAAGGTAGGTTTCCGTTGATAGCGGCTAACGTTTACCGGACTGTTATACAGATGACACCGGCATGACCAAAGGCTGGTGTTGTTTTTATTTTCTCTTCTGTTCTGCATCGTTCAGTGGTTGTTTATGTTGTATGACACGGTATCAGCCTAAAAGGCACCTACGTATCACTGTTAATGGGGAAGTAATTAATTTATATATTCAGTATTTCTGTGTTGTTATATTTAATCTCCGACTGTGTCCCACTCCCACTACGGTTGTATCCAACGGCTTGTTACAGCTTCATTCACGGCTGTTTGCACTGCACTGAATCCCTGCCTCAGGTCACTCCAGTATCCTAATGTGCTCTTTTCAGTTTGTCTAAGAAAAGATTTACATCATAAAGAAGTGTTGGAAAGTTTTGTATTGCGCTGGCAGGTCAATGTGCTATTTAGCCAAATTAGCACATTGGCTAAAATAATGCCTCAAAAACAATATATCTTAAGTTAGCCAAAATGTTGCTAATTTCTCCCCATAGATTCCATTATGTTTGCTCCCAAATTGCTAAAACTCGATTAAAAATTATTTAAGTCGCTAAACGTGCTAAAAACGTTAGGCTATTTGCACTTTTATAAATCCTTGTCCTAGGTTACCGTCTTCTCGATAAATTTCTTTTCTGTTTTTCTCTTGGCACAAAACGGGGTTTTAGCTATAAATAGTTATCCAACTTTAAAGACAGAATAGGTAAAAAAAATATTATATGTTATTTCATTGTTTTGTGTGCTTGAGTCAATAAAACGACACATTTTCCAATATGAGGCAAATTGCTTAAAATTAACCACAAAACAAAACGATTATAAAGAAGCTAAAAGAAGGTGAAACATAGTTGTAGCCAAAATAACTTATGCACCTATTGCAGAAATGTATATGTAATTGTTTGCCAAATTATAGCCAATATTTCCTATAGCTAGCTAAAAAGTAGTCATGTAATAGCTACAAGCTAGCTCTAAAAGCTTGCAAAGGGATTAGCAAAAGGGATTTATAAAGTTATGTCTGTCTGTCTATCAAGAATATAAAATAACATAATTTAAAGGTTATCTTTAAATATTGAAATGAGCTCAAATACTTTCCACGTAGAAATAAAAATCAACAAAAAGACTAAAACAATGTTTACCTTACAATACCTTTAGCAGACTCTTTTATCCACCATGTCAGCCCTGTCATAACTAAAATTAACCCTAAATAGGAGGTGAAATAAAAAAGTCAGACTTAGGCGTTGTTCTTTACTGTAGATTGACAGCTGGTAGAAAAAAGTAGAGGGACTGCACACAAAAAATCCTTTCTGTGCATATAAACATGTCATATGTGCCGCTTTTATTTTCTTCACATCCTAAAGAGATGCTCTGTGGACAAAGAGCTAGTGTCTCTGTTGACAATTTACGTTCAGTCAACATATAGTCCTATCAGGATCACATCTCCTCTATATTCTGAGGCATTGTCTATGTCATTAATATATTGGTCTGCTGTCCTGTGATTGGCTGGTTGCATTCCATGACTGGTTGAACCGGTGTTATGCCTTGTGAAGTGTAGAACATTGTAAATGTGTTCACTGATTTGTCCCTGATACCACCCAAATGAACTGAAACAGTGCACAGAATTTAAAACCTACAAGCTGTGCACAGCCCATGGGTGGTTGGTCAAGAGTACCAACTCAAGGCAATTGAGTAATGCTGTACATGTGCCGTTATGATGATGATGATAATATTTTTGAGGCAGGGGCAGGAATCTGTCAACAAAGCTGAACCCTGTCAACCCTGTTAAAATGGATACAATGAGTTAATTACCAAGGTTCCACAGAGCCTGCATTGCACATGTCAGGCGGATATCAGAAAATATTCCAGCCATCATTCGCAGTAATGTTTATGCTTCATCTAATTTACTACAATAATCAGAGAGTAATTTCCATGTTAATGAACGACATTTTTTGGAGATTATGGTGATGTTTTTTCTCGACTAATGACAGCTGGACTCTGTGTTAGTGGTTTAACAACAGGTTTGATACTAATTCTGTTTTCTTCTGCAGACTGTGCGTCATGGCTTTCCATATCAACCATCCTCAATGGCTTTTGACCCTGTCCAGAAAATCCTGGCTGTTGGGACTCAAACTGGAGCTCTAAGACTGTATCCTTTTATAAACAGGGGAAAATGAAAATGAAGAAAACCACAAAAGGGAAGTAAGACTTGGAATATTTTTTCTCAGTCCCATTTACACACCCTTGAACACACTACCCTGATGTGTGACCTTTGAGATGTTTTCTACTTGTCATATGACTGAATCAGTTTCAGAGTATTTCACAGGGTGTGGGGAATACACACAGTAAGTGGCCTGTCTTTGCCTCCTGTCTTCCGGTAGAACAAAAAATAAATAAATCCATACCAAACAGAGGGATATGGAGGGGGCTCAGAGGTAGACACTAGCTAGGAATTTGTTTGTGTGCAGCCTGCAGCCTCCTTCTCCTGGAGCACCAACGCTCATTAGTGGGATCTCTGCAGTAGCATGAACAGCTCCTTTGCCATATGCTGTGGAGCCACCCTCATCAACGGAGCTGCCTGCTCTGTGACAGGATGCCACTTCATGTGCTGTAAACATTACTGGACCTTCCACATGCACAGAGTGGCTCAGCAATTTAGCATCACCTTTGTATTATTTCTTTTTTAACATCCAGGAATATGAATGTAGTTTTACTGCAAGTCAAGTGACTTCCATGAGTCACAGGATACAACAGTGCACCCTGTGAGTTCTAGACTCTTAAAGAGACGGCAGACTCCTACGCGTGTCTCTGGCAGTTCCCAGGTGTTTTATTGTTTGGTCATAGTTGTAAAGAGGCAGCAGTAGTGGGACTGTGAAACTTTTCCTCACAGCTAGTGAGCTGATTTCCCACAGGATTTTTAACATTAAAGGCCAAGAGGACTTGAACCAATAGGTAATCCACTGGCAGGTCCCCCATTAAAGATTATGTTGATGTTACTGCCCAGCTGCTGGGAAATGTTGTGTTTAAGCAACTCAGAAAACAAAGTTGCTTTTTAAAAATAGCGTTAATAAATGTTCTAAATTTCTACTCCCACGATCAGTCTTGATCCCTATCTGCTTTATTTAGATTTTCATTAGAGGCAGCTTTGTCATCTTTATCCACTCTTTAGATTAAGAGAGCATTGTGTTTACAGGACAACTCCCAAAATACACACACAGAGCATTGTGTTTACAGGACAACTCCCAGAATACACACACACACGCACGCACTACTTCCATGTTGTACTAATGTGCTAGGTAGAGCCTAAGGGATTACTGTCATTCAGGCAATTGGTCCATTTATCAAAAGACAGGCTGTATCGATCCGCCTCATTGGCCGTGGAGTTTGGAAACGCCGCCACAGCTCAGTAGACATAAGCTCGATGAGGTGTCTACAAGCAATAAATGTCTGCTTTTACAAGATCTGTCTCTGCTACAGTGTTTTAATCAGTGTGTTACTGTAGTCACTCCTCTGCACATCCTTAGGAATTTGCCAATATGGAACAGAAACCATGAACAAAATTACAGAAATCCCCACACAGGCTGTAAAATTCCATAAAAGCAAGTCTTAATAGTGGATTTTTAAAAAAAAAATACTAGCTTACCTTTTCTGTCTTTTCCACCAGTAAGTCATTTCTTACATAATTGGCAACAACAGACAAGGTTCTGTCACCATTTTTACAGTTATTGTTGGACTATGGAATAGAAAACAACCAGAGGATCCAGGGTAGCAAGAGTCGAGTGAGGGAATGCTTTATTAAATGAATCATGTTCATGGAGTTTTTCTTTATACAATTATTAAATTTGATGTAATTTAGTTTTTGATGCCTGCAGTATATTATGGTTGTTTTAAATTAATTGTATTTGATTGAATTCACATATGTGTTTAAGAATACAGATAATATTTTATTAAGTAGAATATCTTTATCAATATCTTTTGTTTTGGAATATTTGACCCAGAGAAGCATATAAATAAAAAAGGGCATATAAATAAAAAATAAAAAATTAAACCTAGTCCTGTGCAACTCTATATTTCAATATATTTGACACTTCAATTAGAAAAAAGAAATGTTGTGTTTCCCTCTTTTTAATTTCATTTCCAAATATACTTTTGTAAACAAAATTCCATAGGTTTGCAAACAAAATTATTTTTCAGTTTTTTTATTTCATTTTTGGTAAACTCAGCTGACTGATCATTCTATTCTATTTGTAGTTGGGCAGAAGAGGCAGTTAATTTATTTTCAGAAGTAAAGCTTCTACTTTTTTTTCATGAGTCTGCATAAATTAGCGCACTTCCTTTAAGACTTGATTATCAACTGGTTTGACAGGAAACCCTGATGCTGATGTCGAAATGTTGTGGTGAACCACCTCAAGAAAGGTGTCGATGTTCAAAGTGTGTGTCTCAAACTTGATGCGTTGGTATAGCGTATCATATCTTTGTTTTGTATAAAGTGAATTTCGTCACTCAGTTAAAACTTTTTCACCAGAATCTGTAATATATTTAACTTTTGCAAATAATGCCAGTGCACAATACAAGTAAGACATGCGACCCCTGGCAAACACATACAGCACTGATCTGATCTGATCTGAAATGACTGCATTTTGACGATTATTTGACACAATTTATATTTCCAATCAAATGAAAGCTGTTCAAAGATTTTTAACTTTAAATAAGCAGACCTGACTGTGAGCTAATCGCGCGCCTCCTCCACTGCTCTTCTCCTTTTTTTAAGATATTTTTTACGTGTCCTTAAGTGTCACAACCACTACTTCACGAAAACCTTTTATATGTTGCACCACTGTAGACAGCTGCTAGTAACCAAGGAATTATTCAAATGAGAGATTACTTTAAATATTATTTTCTAGGAAATGCATGTTTGAAGTATAAACTATAAATTATTTTCAATGTCCACCTTCATTATTCTTATTTTATATTTTTGCTCAACTCTTTGTAAACATAGCCTGCAAATGACCTGGTGATCAATGTGATTGATTTTCCAGCAGCTGACTGATGACTAGTCACTTTAAAGAAATGAAATGATTTTCATGCATGTATTTCGGACGAGTAGTTGATGACACGTAACGGTGGTTTCAACCTTTTGTTTGTGTCAGTGTGACTGAGCTTCCTTCAAACACACTAACCAGAAGACAGATTGTCAACCAGCAACACTTACTAACCAAGAGTACAGCAGTCCACACTTTGACCGTTGTGCATATTTGACATTCTACAAATACAGTATGTCCTGATTAGTTCCTTTAAAGTGCAAACATCCTTTTCATTGACTTGAGTGAAGTACTTCATTGTTTGCTGTGTGATAAAATAAATTATATTTAGAGTAGAGTAGAGTAGAGTAGGGCTTTATTCATCCCTCTTGGGGGAAACATACTAATTTAGAATCATAAAACAAAATAGGTTTCCCTAAATTGAAAATGACAATACCTTTAAGACCTTTAAACCATATTTCACTAAAATAAGGGTCCCTTAAATATTTATTTGTATTATTTATACATATCTATTTTCCCTAATGTGAGGACATTTGAAAAAGAGGTCAGTCCATATTAAATCTGTCCATATTTGACTTTGGACATACTTGGTTTACTGTCAGTTGTATACTGGCTTTTAACCCGTGGCCATAGGGAATGACTTTACACCTGACGTATGACAGAGAAATTGCATGAATTCACTCCACTCACATTAACATACCCATATGAGTTAAGGCAAACAGGAGAAAGAAAGCACCTGAATCACTGCTTAAGATCAACCAGTAATGAGGCTGCTAATCTACTCGTGTGAGACGTTAGATAAATATGAATATACAGCAGCACTGCTGATGAACATCGTTGCTCTTTCGACTTGGTTCTTATTTATGAGGCTTTCCAACCGTCTTTAATGACTCTCCTCCTCCTCTTCTACTTCCACTGTGGACCTGTGGAGATTTGATACCCGTCAATAATAATGACAAATGTACAGAGGAACCTACGGTCCAGGAGGTAAAGCCTGCACAGAAAGGTCATGGGTTGATGTGAGTTCAGCTGCTGACTGCCTACGACTGGCGCCAGCTTCAGGCCTCTGTTTGCGTCTGTCCCTGGGCAGATGTGATGCCCACTGTTGTCCTAAAATCAGGCTCCTGCAGCCCCACCCAAGTTTGTTCAAGGGACTAAGGGAGTGTTTGATCACAGCTCTCCGAATCCTGTTGTGGCACATTGTGCTGTGTCAGCTCTAAATACGCATAGATCTCCTTTTTGGAGCTTTTCCCCAGCAGCAGTAAAATGAAGACGACAGTGAGGAGTATTGCATTTTTTTTTGTTCTCTTTGTGTCTCTGTCACAGTCATTGCCGTTTTGATTAGATCATGTGATGCTTCCTCCTTCTTTGGTGCTCAAACCCTCTGTTTAAAGTGATTACAGCCAGCCATTTCCTCACTGTGCTGCCTCACTACTGTTCTCTCAGTGCAACGTATTTGCGAGGTTTTTATGGGCTGCATTCCCATGGGGCCGTGTCCTTACTGTGGCCGCAGTCTCTTGCTATTCACAAATTCTAACACCCTAATGGTCGGCCTAGTTCATTTTTGAATGGATGGTTTCAGGAGTGAAGATGCTCTGACCTGAACCTAACTGTGTGATGGAGAGAGAGGTGAGAGTTAAATTAATCATGCTGCCGTCACGCAGGCTGACGTGTGTGAATAAATAAAGCTGACGAGGCCCACTGATTTTATTTATAACCCCTGGTTCGATTTGTTTCATTTTCCTGCCAGAGCCTTTCAGGGAAAGGTAAACTGTAAATGCCAACTTAGATCTAGTTATGAAAATGAAGACTCTGAGTGTGCGTTACTTGTGTGTGCGTGTTTCTATCGATCTTTGCTGTAAAAACATCCACTGTTTAAAAACACTTTATAGCATCTGTGATCCTTTGAGAAAAATTCATCAACTTTACTGTTTCTCACACATTTTCTTTGACTGAGGCTCCTCACAGCTTTGGCCGTGCTGGCGTGGAGTGTTACTGTCAGCATGAGAGCGGTGCTGCTGTTATCCAGCTCCAGTTCCTGATCAACGAGGTTTGTTGTCATTATGCTTCCCTTTGCTTGTTTGGTTTTCCCTCTCACTTCCATATATGGAGGTACTGTAGGTAGCGGTAGTAGGAGACGGTTTTGTAACCCAAGAAATCATTAGGTTAAAAGGTACAGTCCCAATTTAATGGTATGCATGTGTGAGGTTTTCTTCATAATGTATACGGAGAGGGGTCACAATCTGCCAAATTCTGCTCCAGACCAGAACAGAGTGTAACTTTTTGTTTACATTTCAAAATAAAGTTTTGGTCTGTGTTCATGATGGAGAAACATTCTGACTTGGTTTGTACTCAGATGTCATTCAGATATTTCACATGAAAGTCAGTGTTTGATAATAAAATAATTAGACTGTATCTTTGGCCTTCCACTGTGCAGTTAGCGCTCAAGCTCATGCAATCTGCTTCTGTGTATTCTCATATCATACATGTTTCCGACCCTTTTCTACAGGGGGCGCTAGTGAGTGTCTTAACTGATGACAGCATACACTTGTGGAACCTGAGGCAAAAAATCCCCGCGATCTTGCATTCACTCAAGTTCAACAGGGAGAGGTATGGTGGCTTTTTCAGTCTCTGAAGTGTGGGAACAACATCCTCACATCCCATCATCAGTGGCCTCGTACGTCTCACTGTATAATTAGATGATTTTTTTTTTTGCCATCACACTTTAGTAGTGAGAATTTAGTATTTGTGTTCTCTTGTTACATTCCTTTAACTACATTTTGCTTGAACCCCTGCAGGAAGTGTCTAAGTCAAGGTGAAAGGGGTCACTGACATTAGCAACTACACGTCCTTGAACCATTGTTCCACTGTTGTGTGATGTCCTGATTTGTATTGCCTTTGTTTTAGAAATCCCTGAAGTGTTTTTTAAAGAATGCTGTAGAGTTTCTTTAGTTTTATGGCCCGAAACATCAGAAAGCCTCCTTGGATCCAAAAACAATGATCTTTCTTTGATTTTTTTTTTACTTTAACTTTTTTTATCCTGACTTGCTAATGGGTATCTTTGTTTATAAATATAATGTTCCCTGTTAATAGCAATTTACCTACAGTAATACATTTTAATCAAGTGGAGATTCCTTGACATATACAGTACTTTAAAGAAAACCTGGTCATAAAGAATTCATTCACTTTAAAACATACCATTGCAAGTAAATACATCATGTTTACAAATGCTTCAAAAAGAGGAAGAGTAATAGGAGTAAAATCAGAACCACGGTCACCTTAGTTCCACTAAGAGGTGCACTTGTGGGCTTCAACCTGTGGGATTTACATCAAGGTGGCCACTCAATGGAAGAGTGGGTAGTGCACTTGCCTTACAGCAATGGGGTCAGTGATTCATCCTCTGGTAACTGATGAGCTTTCTGTGTGGAGTTAGATTTATTGTTCAGCCTCAACTGACCGTAGTTCTTATCACGTGTAAAACATGAACGTAATTAAAGTACATTTAAAAAAATATATTATTCAGACACATGACTTGTTTATTAAGAAACACTCAGCAGTAAATTAGGTGGCTATAAACAGGCAGAGAAGATGTGATTACAGTGGAAAGGGGTGCAATCTTGAAGAAGTGCTGTGGAGAGCAGCCTGATATGACTTCTAAGCTGATGACCAAAGGGGGGAAGCTTTTAAAAAAGCAGCACAATGTTTTTCTGCTATGCTGTATTTTTGAATACATTGGATGCTAATTCATAGTTGTAGCTTTAAAATGTCAGCATTCATTTTTTTCTCTTACATCTTTTTGTCCTTTACATTTTTATTTTTAGACTGAATCTGCAGCACAGTGAACTTTCTCCTCCTTACTGATTTCTTAGTCTGGTTTCATTAGAGTGACACAGCACAAGGCCACTGTAATTAAATCTTAGTCACTGGCTTCTTCTTCCAGTTGTAGCAGCATGATTAAGGACAAAGATGACTGTGAGTCATAACACAATGAAAAGTCTGGTACTGACGGACCCTCATCTCTTACAGAATCACATACTGCCACCTGCCCTTCCAGAGCAAATGGCTTTACATTGGCACAGAAAGAGGGAACATCCACATTGTGAACGTGGAGTCCTTCACTCTCTCAGGCTACGTCATCATGTGGAACAAAGCCATCGAACTGTGAGTTCTGTGTGTGTGTGTCTTTCTTCCCATTTCTCTCAGCCACTTTTCTGGCAGTGTCATTTGCATATCTTGTGTGTGCAGTTGTGTGTTGGAAGTCAAAACAGAAAACAGGGCCTGGATGCCTGTGTTTGCAGATACAGTGTATTTTGTAAGCTGAGAACACTGTGGCTGTGATCAGTGTGTGAAGGCGGTGTGGAGGAGGTAAATGTACTGTGCCAGAACTGCATTGTTGAGACTCCTCGAGGTGTTCACTGCCTGAATTAATGCAACATCTGTGAGAGGAAGTGCCCACTTGATACCCTCACCCTTGTGACTTTTCCTGTGTCTCCTACTCAAGCATGTAAACTCCCACTTTCACAATCATGAGGAATTTCCTGAGGTAGTCTGATAAAACAATGCATGTTTCACATGCAGGTAAAGTCAAAAAAGTCCATCACACAATGTACTAAAGAGAAACGTTTCATCATCTTGATTATTCTTTAGAACAGACATGGCCAACCTGCGGCGTGGGAGCCACATGTAGCTCTTACGTTTATGTTTTTTTTTTTTAAAGGCCAGTTCACATGTGCCCATGTACTATATATAGAAGAATAGAATTAAAGTCAAATGCATGTAAAGCTACCATTTTCTTAGATAATTTGTTCAGAAATGTAAAACTTCTCTCTTCTTTGTAGCGAGTTAAAAAGTTTCAGAGAGAATATTTTGTCTCTATATTTTATATTATCTTTGTTTTAAGGATTTTCTTTTGACACATCTTTAACCGAATTTTGGAAAGTTGGAAAGTTTGGAAAGTTTTGACATTTTGTTCAAATGCTTTAATTTGTTCTCATGGCATTTGATGTTTCTGATGTTTCTGTTTCTCTCTTTTACATCTTTAACCTTTTGTTGACTGTTTTGAGCATAAAGCCCAAATTAAGACAGCTCTCAGGGCAGCATTTTTCTGGCACTATTTTTTAAAATGTTTTTGTCAGTTAAAGCTGTTGTTTAAACGTTCAGCTATCATCTCCTGTTAATGTGGATTATTATAATTATACTGTATGCCTTTTGGAAATTTGGAATATGTAATTCTTGTATAATTTCTCTTTTCCTGGTTAATTCAAGTCTGGGCTTTTTGTCCATTCTGTTGCTGGTAATGGACAGCTTAGTCTTGTTTGACTAAAATTGTTTTAATGTTAACTTGGTCATTAATCCAGATTTGTGATGGAAGCCTGATGCTTAGTTCAATGGGTAACACAGGCAGTTCACAATTCTTCCTGATATCCTCTTTGTTGCTTTCTATTAAAAACACATTGAAGCTAATGATGTAGCGTAGGTGGTGAGTTCATATTCCACTGAATCTTTGCCAGTTATTTCTGTCTCTACGTCTGACTGTATCGACTCATCAGCAGCAGTGAGATCATTAGCCTCTAGAGCCAGACCACATTTGGAGGCAGCAACACTTTCTTCAGACCAGACCTTCACTTCCTCTGTGGCCCTTTGCTCTGTTGCCACGGTGATGCTGTCTCCCCACACTGTAATCTCTCACAGACCCTCATGTGACCCTGCTCTCCCCTCTCTGTTTGTTTCTCTCTCATATTTAATGTCTTCTTCTGCAGTGCACAGATGCACAGTTTCTTTTGATAATGTTTGTCCATAAACAGAGACTTTGACTTCTGTTTTTATTTTTTGCTCCTCTTGTGGTTGTTTTTCCATCTCCCTCTTTCTAGAAGTTTACATTTGTTGTTAAAAAACACATTGTTGGTGACTTTGTCGTTTTTCTTTTCAGTCCCTTCTTTTTTTTTTTGATAAAATACAGTCTTGATTTTTCTTTCCTTTTTTGCTTCTTGTCTGCACAGATCCACCAAGACACACCCAGGGCCTGTGGTGCACATCAGTGATAATCCTATGGATGAAGGAAAGGTAATTTGACACTGAAAGACCCTATCACCTGTTTGCATTTCATCCACTACCAACTTTATAAAAATTCTGAATGGTTTGGCGGTATTCTAAACATTCTAAGATTAACACTTCCAGCAGGAAACATTTATATGATTTATTCTTCTGCCTGTCTACAGCAAGGCAGTCAGAAGATGGTAAGGTGATATTTGTAAAAAATATGGAAATTTTTTAAATCACGAACAAATTTACCATAAAAATCAGTTAATAAATCCTTAAGATATTTACCTGAATAAATCAGGTGGGTGGGGATCTTTCTTCTGTCATAAATATTCAAGTATTTGCCTTGAGGAAATCTACACACCTACATAGATATATCCCATAATATTCGTGTCTGCAAACACAGTAATTAAATAGTTGTTATTGTGTTTGTGTCTGCGTGTGTGATATTTCTGCCTCTTTTCCACATAATAAATGCGTGCTGTGAGACCATTAAGAAATTGCAGTAGCTCATGTTAACTCCAGGCAAATGTGCAGCGTGTGGTTTCACAGCAATCAACTGAGCTGTGCTTTGCTTCTCTGCTTATTGCAGCTTCTGATTGGATTCGAGTGCGGCGTGGTGGTGTTGTGGGACTTGAAGTCCAAAAAAGCTGACTACCGCTATAATTACGATGAGGTAAGACATTATTCCATTTCCTGTTAGTGGCTGTGATTATGGGAGTAAATTTGACTCTGGTTATTTGGGCAACATGCTTGAGTTGACAGGAGGTACCTGCAAAACTTTGACAACATTAAATGAAAACATTTAAGGGTTTTGAAAATCATTAAATGCCTTCCATGCCCCAGGCTATACACCTAGAGTGTTGCATTCATGCTCTGTTCTACTGTAGTTACTCACCAAGTGTGTTTTAAATATCTCAACTGCTCAAAAATCAATGACAAAAGTTTCACATGGAGCTGCTTCGGAAAATGTAGACACCATGTTTGCATCATACGCTGATGATATGCTGCTGTTGCTGCAGGCGATCCACTCAGTGGCCTGGCACCACGAGGGTAAACAGTTTGTTTGCAGCCACTCAGACGGCACTCTGACCACATGGAATATACGTGCCCCAGCCAAGGCTGCGCAGATCATCACGCCACATGGTACGAGCTGCTGTGCGCACAAACACACACACTCGTATGGTCCTTTCACACACTTGGACAAACATCATGTAGTTTCTTTTTAAAAAGAGAAAAGGATGTGAGAACACGATGTTGCGCTCTGTGAAATTAAAAAGCTCTGACCTTTGACCTCCTGCAGGAAAGCAGCCCAAGGATGGGAAAAAACCAGAACCATGCAAACCTATTTTGAAGGTGGAGTACAAAACAACCAGGGCTGGGTAAGTGTGTTATACTCCACCCATCCTTTGTCTCAAGTGTCTGTGGTTTGATCCGTATCCTGCACTGAAACAGGCCTTTCCTGTTGTTCTGTCACAAACACATATTGTGTATCCAACTGGTCAGGCCTGTTGTTAACGTCCCTGTGCTGCAGTAAGTGAGGTGTGTGACCGGACCAGTCATGTCTCTTTACATGTGAACATGTGATTATGTTATAATCACCTAACTATATTCTAATTATTATCAGCAGAAGAGAAGAAACTTCATGTCTGGATCACAGAGTAAAAACTTTCCAATAACAAAGTACTGTTTCACAGAAACTGATCCAATCATCCTAGAGTTTTTTTCTTCATCCGTCAGAGGGCAGGGATTAATATAGCTGCTGTTGTAATTAAAAAATAAGCTCCTCCCATCATTTAAAATGGGGTCAAGTCATTTACAGATAGAGCAGAAGAGTAATTCATGTCCCTCTTCAGCCATTCACCACTGATGAGACTCAAACTGAAGCTTCGTTGGAAAGACAATCAGCCTGGTTTTGTCTGTGTCTGTATATTCTATCCTCAGGGACCCATTCATGGTCCTATCCGGGGGTCTGTCCTACGACACAGTGGGGAGGAGAGCCTGTCTGACTGTGATGCACGGTAAAAGCACTACCGTCCTGGAGATGGACTACCCCATAGTAGACTTTCTAACGTTGTGTGAGACTCCATATCCTAATGGTGAGCAGCGACAGTTCCTCCTGCCCCTCCTCCATCTTGTATGTAATGACGTCATCTACTCGGTTAATTTTGTACTTTGTTTGTTTGCCAGACTTCCAGGAGCCTTATGCTGTCGTGGTCCTCCTGGAGAAAGATTTAGTTGTAATAGACCTCGGACAGATTGGGTAAATATTCTGTTTTCTAAATATAGCCTGTGTTATTTCGATGTGCGTCAAGGAGTACTGGGCTTTAAAGACATATGAATAATAATAACTTTTCCTTATTCTACAATTTCCTAAGATGAGAATAAACAACCAAAGACGTATATACATACATACTATATATATATATAAATAATGATGCTACTGACTCTAGATCAGAGGTTCATAACCTTTTTGAATTTTTGAGTCTCAATTTCTATTGGACAACGTGGCTGGGCGCCATTAAGTGGTCCTTACATGTAAACACTGCACCACATTTCTTAACAGGTACCCAATATATGAGAATCCATATCCTCTGACTATCCATGAGTCACCAGTGACCTGCTGTGAGTACTTTGCTGACTGTCCTGCTGGACTTATTCCTGCACTTTATTCTGTCGGTACCCGGCAAAAAAGACAAGGCTACAGCAAGAAGGTGAATATCTCTGTTTGAGTTTTTCTTTTTTTTTTTTTTATGAATCTGATGCTTTAGTGAATGTTTCCACATCCGTTGTACGTTACTTTGTTTATTAACAAATGTATTAGCAGTCAGTATTTAGAGTAGAGTAGGGTAGAGTAGGGCTTTATTCATCCCCCTTGGGGGAAACATACTAGTACAGTAGCAAGTGGCAGTGCAGAAAAAGAGAGAAGAGGAGTTAACACAATAAATAGAGTAAAAAGAAATAAAAAGCACTCTAAAATTAAAGTAAACTTTAGAAAAATATACATAATGAACAAGAAAATATACATATTGAACAATAAAGTGGCAGTGAAGGGTGCAGGTAGTCAGTGCAAAGAGTTAAACAGTCTTATGGCTGATGGGAGGAAGGACCTGCGGTAGCGCCCCTTCCTGCATTGTGGATGCCGGAGCCTGCCGCTGAAGGAGCTACGCAGGGCCTCCACAGTCTGGGGCAGCGGTTGGGTGGGATTGTTCGACATCATATTCATGGGTGGGATTGTTCGACATCATATTCATTACAACATTTTATGGCGATATTATTTTAGTTAAGAAAATACACTGTCTTCCCTTTTGCCACAGGAATGGCCTATTAGTGGAGGAAACTGGGGCCAAGGCACACAGAGCTACCCAGAAATCATCATCACAGGGTTGGTTGCTGTTACCGTGTGAATTCTTTAATTTTAATAAGTCTGTAAATCCTTAAATAAAAAAATGTTAATATTCCCACTGTATAACTTTATGTTTTTAACAGGCATGCCGACGGCTCGATTAAATTTTGGGACGCTTCTGCATGTAAGTAGTTTTGTGTGTGTTTTTGTGTAAATTAAACAGAACACTGAGAAACATTGGTCTAGAATATAATGGATTTCAACATAAAAGCCTTAGGACTCACTCTGTGTTTTAGAAAACAAGAATTTATTTTAAATATAATACAATTTGTTTTTGGAGTGAAAAGATAGACTAGTTAGTGTGCACTCTGACAAAATCTTCAGTGTAAAATAATCTAGATTTGTGCCATTCTGTATGTTGTTGACATGATCGTACATTTTTGGCCTTTTTGTCTTTGAAAATAAAGGCAACAAAAACATCGCCATTGGCAACTTGGCATCATCATGTTTATTTGGCCCTAATTTCTAGTATGTATCTAGTAAGTATCCTAAAGTCATGTGAGCATTTTTGTTCCTGACATTTCTTTCAGTAATGCTTCAAGTGCTATACAAGCTGAAGACTGCCAAGGTGTTTGAGAGAGCCCGTGGAAAGGAGGAGAAGTCAGGCGCAGACATCGTTGAAGAAGATCCCTTTGCCATCCAGACTCTGTCCTGGTGTCCTGAGAGCAGGATGCTGTGTGTCGCTGGAGTGTCCGCTCATGTTATCGTTTATCGGTTCAGTAAACAGGAGGTGACAACTGAAGATGTGCAGGTATGTAGAAAAAAAAGATTTTGTTTTTTTTAGTAAAGTGTTGTTTAACATACTGCATAGACTTGTTTGGGTTAATGTGGTGCTTTTTTAAGTTTTTTAGTTCCTTGTCTTCAGCTCCTGGAGGTGCGGATGCAGTGTGATTTCAGCGACGTGGACTCCCCTGATCCAGGAGGGGATCAGACACCCACCTTACCCACACCAGGAGCTTCCTCTAGCCCTCAGGAGTCTGAACCTCCCACTCAGACCTCCACAGGCAGCAACCCTTCCGATGGACCCCGGGACAATATTCCTTGCCTGCAGTATGTAGAATTATATTTTCCTGTTCTCTCTTTTGGCAAATGTAGTGACACTAGAAATAAAAATGTCATTTGTGAGCTGAAATCATCCGTTCAGTCACATTCTCCATCCTTTTCAGTAATTCACCGGGGGAAAAATGATGTAAAGTCTGTTTCAGTTAGAGGATGGAGGAGGGAAAAACAATAATAAAAACAATGATATTGTCAGTGCAGCTTACAGCCCAAAGGCTGATGATATTTGTTCCACTCTAAGCTGCATCCTGCCGTGTGTTTAATGTAGGGTGCGGAGCTCTCCGCTGAAGCAGTCTCCAGGCTACCAGGTGGAGCTCGTGGTTCAGCTGGTGTGGGTGAGCGGGGAACCTCCTCAGCCAATCACAAGCCTGGCTATCAACTCGTCTTATGGCCTGTAAGTGTTCTTTTCCGGCTAGCATGCTTAATATTTTGATTATCTGAAGTAAACTGAAATAGAAAGGTAGTCATTGGGGATGCATCTATATTTAGTTCATATCTATTAGAATCGACAGAGTTTGCAAAAATGGACCATAGTTGTATACATACAGACATATACACTTACAGTCACTAGTTCCCCAAGTCCCATAATAACCTGCCATGTGCCAGCCGATAAACACACAATGTAGTGAAGTCAGACTTAACATATGGTGGCACAAAATGTAAAGACTAATGAGCATGCAGCACCCTCTATGGGTAGAACTTGTTTTTTTACGTCATACTGTACTGCAGGCTATTATAGGCACAATTTTAATTGTTGCCTCTTTAAAGCAGATTGGCTTAAGCTAAACTTGATTACGATTTGATCTCTATTAAGACAATTACTTTAAAAATACTGTATTCTTAGGTTGCTTATGCAATAACTCAGCATTTTACACTGATCTGTGTGCACTCTGTCTACCTTTTTGCACATGGTCACAATGTTTCTGGCTGGGAATGATTGTAATTGAATATTAGACACACATAGTCACTCAGGTGGTGCCCATTTAAACCATAGACAATAGATGGGAACACAACCCTGGGGTTTTTGTGTAAGACTGTAGAAGTTAAGTTTGATTTGGAATTTATAACTCAAAACAGGACTAAATTAGGATTTTGTTTATATAAAGTTGTAACCCTCCCATCACTCGTTTCTCACCTGCTATGTTTGCATTTCAGTGTGGTGTTTGGAAACAGTAATGGTCTGGCTGTGGTGGACTACCTCCAAAAGACCCTGCTCCTCAACATGGGCACATCAGAGCTGTACAGTCCGTCTGACCCATACCAGAGGCAGCCTCACTCTCCTCGCAAAGCTCGGCAGCCTTCTGGAGGTGAGCGGCTCTCTCACCATTCTGCTCTTTTTCTTCTCTTTGTTCTGCTGAAACCCTTCACTCAGTACCTGGTTTTCCTCTATCTTACTGAAAAAGGCTCACTCTTCTTGGATGTGGACTAGAGAGCTAGGTCGGACACTTGCCAGCCACTGTTGGTTAACATTATGACCACTGCCCCCTGTTGTAGATTTTCTGCCACAACAGGGGGCACCACTGTTTCCATCTGTTCACTTACAGCTAGCCAAAACAGTAGAGAACAAACGTTAGTGATCTGTGCAGTGGGAGGTGATGCTGTGCCTTTGTTACTGTGCTTTTGAATGACTTCAGTGATGAAACAGAACATAGAACTGTTCTTGTGTCATATCGTCCACTTTGTCTTTGTCTGTTTTTATTCTTTTTTTTGTATATCATCTGGTTATAGAAGCCTTTGTTCACAAGAATCCTATTTAAGTATGAATATGTTTAATTATTTATTTTTTTGACATACTTTCTACTCATTTCATCCATGTTTTCAGTCTGTTTTCTGTCTCACTGTCTCTACTGTCTGTTTCTCCTTTTTGATTCGATCTGAAGACAAACCAAATGTGACATTTTACATGTCCAGGCTTTCTAACTTGTATAGTGAGTCTGTGAAAAAACTACGCTCATCTCATTTCAGTAAGTCATTACATATCACCATTCATCCTCCCTATTGTAGAAGACACAAGCCCTCCCTTTTCCTTGGAAGTATATTCCCAGATTTTGATTCAATAGCCTCCTTTACCTTAAAGCTCCTTATTTAACATAAAAAAACAGCACTGATCTGAGGGAAGATTTTTGGGCTGGAAGGCTCTATAGCAAAATCAGTTGATGTCTTTTGTACCACAGGCTCCAATTCTATTAGATAAACACTGACACCTTAAGTCAACAGATTTGTACTAGATTCGTGTGCTCAGGTGTGGCTCTTTTACTACAGTGTATGGGTAGCTCCAGGGTACGAAACAAAACCTTTTACTCAGCTCTTTCTTGGTGGTGAAACATAACATGGATTTTTTTTTTCTGGGACAATTTTTATGAGATTTCTTTCCCATCATTTGTGCTTTGAGCCAATGGGTAAACCCTTGCTTTGCTTTTTTGCTAAAATAAGCAATTTGTAGCCTTTTTGTCTCTGTAAGTGGTTGTATGAAAAAAATGTTGGTCACATTTAAGCGTTACTAACTTCTACAATTACCTTTAATTATTATTTGAGCAATCTTAGCATTATTTTCACATTTTCCCAGCTACATTCTAACTATTTCTTTGGTATGGGTTATTCTGTTGTGGGTTGCAGCTGGGGTTTTTTTGTGCATTTATCTCCAGCTAAATGTAATTGTTCTAACATTCTGAATAACATGAAGCCTTGTTTTGGCCAAATACTATTTCTTAATTGAGTGGTTTTACGCTACAGTAAGTCTTTTTTTTTTTGTTTTTTTTTTTTTTTAAACCTTTAAGCCAGCATATAGTTTGTAGTTCCCTGCTATACATGCAGATTTTGATAATGCTTTCTCTAGTATACAATAGTCAAAATTATATAGTAAAATACTATGCTCTTTAAAGCTACTAAAGCCTGAAAAGTGAAGTTGAAGTAACCCCATAATTTCTGACTGTAGGTACTGTCTGGTGTAGGTAGCAGCTCCTGACTTTGTTCAAATAGTAGATTGTTCACCTTATGACCTTAGTCCCGATGATTCACGACTTTGACTTTGTGTTTAACCTGAGCGTTTGTGGCTTCCGCAGCACTTTGTGATTCCAACGACGGAGCCAACCCTTCGGAAGATCGCTGCAAATCACCTACTTCAGGTAAACTTCGACATTAAACTGCAAATAATACGTCTGTGATCATTGGTTCCTTCCAACTGCCAATGCTTGTCATGTAGGATCTACCTCACCGTGCAATTCAGATGATGAACGAAGGCAGAAGTTCATGCAAAAGGGTACTGTACTGTCCAGAACTGCTTGTGCCGTTTACTGCACTAAAAAAGCAGTTGCCTGATTTGTCCTTTTGAACCTGTTTCCAGTGAAGCTCAAAAGCAGACGCTTTTCCAAGACCGTTGCCAGTGACTTTGGTACTGTATCAGCAGATTGCGTTTCTTCTGATCACTCGCTCACTCCTTTTCCTTCTCTCTCTCTTTAAATGACAGCGATCTAACCACAACAAGCCTTTAATCCTGTGCAAATTTGTGCTTTTTGTGCCAATGAATGAACAGAGTGCATTTAGGATGATGATTTTTTTCACTAATCACATCTCAGTCTTGGGCTTTTTAAATTAAATCAGAAATCTTGTATCTAATGCATGACTGTTTTGAGGCAATTTTGTATGCCTGGTTTTGTGACAACACCGTTGCACAATTGTATATAGATAATAAGCTGATCTGGTGGTTTTTCCTGATTCAGCACATGTAACATTGAAAATCTCCGTCACTGCCACCACTTCTATTGCACTAATATCTGACAGTACAATGATGAAGTGTGAATATTTTCCTTTTTGATTATAGACACTTGCTGCGTGTTACTCTGGTTCTAGGGCTTCACATGAGTTTGGCTACTACTCTGACTTCATTCCTTCTTCCTCCCACTCTCTTTGCATAACAATGTTGACTGAATTGTAATGACTTTATATCTTCGCTGCCTCCTGCTTGGTTTGACCTTACAGGCACCTTTGGTTTCTCTAATGCTCCTCAGTGTTGTTATGGGTTTGGTTATAGACCAGGACGGGCAACATTTGAGGGTTCTAAGCATGGATTGTTTTTTAAGAAAAAACTGCTCTGCTGGATGTAGAAAAAAAGTGATTTAGAAAAGATCTAACAGGTTTACAGCCTCAAAACCTTGTTTGAGAATATGGATTAGGGTGTCATTTTCTAACTTTTGTACCTTTACAGCCATTATATACTTTCAGATATTGTAGGTCCGTCATTTCTGTACTGGATGGATGGATGGATAGATAGATACAGTAGATAGATACCTTATTGATCCCAAAGGGAAATTAAGGAGATCTGAAGTTAGATCTGAAGCTAAATAGATAGATAGATTGATAGAACTTTATTAATTAAGGATAGATACTAGAAATACTGCAACAAGAAGTTAGATTATTAGATATAACTGTAAAAAATGTGACGATACAAGTCGATACGATATAAGTCTTAAGATTCCAGTGTACACAGACAATGTGTTTCCTCAGCAGTTGCCCCTCCGCCTTTATAACCACTTATAATGCTTAGTCAAACCCCTAAACCTTTTTCAAATCAATTGCCTGTTTTTTTCCAAAAAAATAAATATTGGGCCAAATTGCTAATCACTCGCTGTAATTACATTTTAAATAATTTTGTTGAGTGATGAACATTTAGCCATTGCTCCCTCCTCATAAACCTAGGCTATTTGTGTCTGTTGCAGCCAAGATGTCACGGAAAATTAGCTCGTCTAGTGAGCATAAGCCAGACGTGGGTAAGCCAACACTCATGACTTTTTTTTTCCTCTACAGGTGCTCATCTTCAAATCTCCTGTTCTACATGTGTGTTGTATTGTTAGACTGAGTGTGGCACCTCTGTTGTTTTCCGTATACCATAACTTGAGATGGACATCTTTCTATGTGCACTCTGAACAGACGAAAAGCCCAAACCGACCCGCTCCCTCTCATGTAAGAAGAGCATTAGTTTTATGAGGAAAGACAAGGCAGCGCCCAAGATGAAAGCTGCTTTGTGTAGAACTGAGTCAGCCCCCAACTGCTGTGAGTGGACCAACCATGGTCTGTCTTGGTCTGAAGTGGGATAACTGGTACTAACCCCCACCCACCGCTGGGACTTCTTATTATTATTATTTGAATCTCATTGGTTGAGAAAATAATCCTCTCACAGTGACTGGTTGGTAAAACTGCTGAATTTGACTGCACACCGGGTTTCTTGTGTTTTTACAGTAGGTCCATGTGAGGGTCATGCATGTTTGTTGGTGTGTTCATACCACAGTGGTTAATACATGGGCTTCTGTCAGCACGAGCTCAAGGCATTGTTAATTACTTTAATTTCCAAGTCGCTCTACTAAAGCTTGCATAACTTTTTGGTAATGATTGTGTTTTCAATGTAAAGGTATAATATGCAGGAACTCTTCTTGTTGGTAAACAAGTAGCCCCCATTATATCCTGCAGGTGGTGCTATAAATCCACATTCCTTCGAAAAAAACTTCACAACAGACATAACTCAGTCACAGTAACACTAGAATGCTTTACTTGGAGTTTTGTTAATTACACAATGGAGAGCACTGCGGGTTGATCCTGTCCCTCCCCCCAGTCTCTCACCTACATTTTAAACATCAGCTGGTTTTCTTTTTGGTGGCAATAATTCTACTTACTTTACTTATTCTCTGTTGTTATCACCCAAAAATATTCCATCCACTTACAAAAGAATACTGTGATAAAACAAACAAAAAAAATCATTGGCTAGTGCCAGCCAACCGTTCATTTGCATAAATCTATAGTTGACTACTTGAGAGAATTCCTGCATACTGGACCTCTTATTACAAGATAAATTAATTTGGACCCACTTAAGAAGAACGCTATATCCTTGACTAAATATGTGCAAAGAGTGAAAGCTCTTTATGCCTGCCCGTTTAATAAAATACACAAATGTAATGGGATACATGTTTTACTGAGCAGAAGCCCCTGCTGGATTGAACGCCTCTAACATCTACTGTTTGACACAAAAATTCTCAGCATTCCAATTCTCTCAAAGTTTTTCTTTATCTCTCATTTGTCCACATATCTTTGCTCAGATGCCAAGGATAACTCATTCACCCGCTCACGTAGTTCCAGTGTCACCAGCATAGAAAGAGAGACTCGTGAGGCCATCTCCTCCTTTCACTTCTGCGAGAGTTTTCCCAGGAAGACAGACACTCTGGTTAGTCCATGTCTGCTGGTGGGAACCACCCAAGGCTCTGTGATGACGGTGGCCCTCAGTGTGCCCCCTGGTGGGGACCAGAGGCTGCAGCAGTCTGTTGGCATCTCCTCCTGTGGTAAGCGTTTCCTTGTGTCACTTCCCAGCAGTTGTGGATGAAAGCAAGACATTTTGAAAAAAACAAGTTTTAAATGAAACGTTAATCCATATTTCCCAACTTGAAGTCTTAAAAACTTGTCAAAGTCAGAGTCATAATTTCTTTCAGGCACTCTCGTTAGACTCAAAGGAGGCATTTTGACAATGGCCCTCCTCGACTCCACTGCAACTCTACTGCCCCCTGTCTACGAGCCATGGTATGACCCAAATGCCTCAGATGAAGAGAAGGAGAAGAGCCGGAGGCGCAGGCCAGCCTCCCCTCCCTCTTCACAGGAGGGTCAGGAGTCCCAGTTTGCTGTGCTGTGTTCGGAGAAACAGGCCAAGGTGGTGGCAATGCCGTCTCAGACCCGCCTCTACAAACACAACATCACAGAAACCTCCTTTGTTCTAAGAGCCGATGTTGTTTTGATGGCCGGAGCGAACTGCATCGCCTGTTTCTGTGCCAATGGGCACATCATGACGCTGAGGTAATACTGCCTAACACAGTGTGATCAGTTTACTCCAAGATAAGATGCTTCACAATGTTTAACTTTCTTTTTCTTTTTTTTTTTTACAGTTTACCAAGTTTAAGGCCCCTGATAGACATCAACTACCTGCCACTGACAGACATGCGAATAGCCAGGACGTTCTGCTTCTCCAACCTCGGTCAAGCCCTGTACCTCACGTCTCCGACTGAGATCCAGAGGATTACCTACAGCCAGGAAACCTGTGACAACCTGCAGGTCAGATATCTGTCACAGCCACAGCAAATGTTTGTGTCACACAAAATAACTCGAACAGAATAGTTTTGATTACCCTTTAAGATCACATTTTATACATGCAGTAATGAAACACTACAGTCACCTTAGATCATGAGGTTTTCTGTGTTTCTGTGTTTATATAACAAGTTCATCCTAAGAAGTTCAGAAATAGTCAGGCCGTTTGCCTACTTCTGAAATTCTATGTTTAGATCATGAAATGCCTGGGGCTGCACCAAAGAAAAAAAAAAAAAGAATCTTAATGGGTCAGTCAGTCAGTTTGTGTACAGGGAATAAAAATGGAAATCTGCTGATGTTTCTGTCCTGCAGGAAATGCTCAGTGAGTTATTTACCCCTGTGGAGACACCTGAGGCTCCAAACCGGGGTTTTTTTAAAGGTCTTTTTGGTGGAGGAGCTCAGTCTCTGGACAGGGAGGATCTCTGTAAGTACAGATTGGTTTCACATTCACACATTTCTTGCTTGTAGAGTACTGTAGCACATCACCTTTTCCATTTGGTCTTTTGTTATTAAAAAAAAACCAAACTTGACAGTTGGTGAAACAGCTGCTGGTAAGGCTTCCCGTAGCCTCGCTCAACACATCCCCGGCCCAGGCAGCATGGAGGGCATGAAGGGCGCAGCATCAGGAGTCGTGGGAGATCTGGCCCGAGCCCGGATAGCCCTAGACGAAAGAGGGCAGAAGCTGGGCGAGCTGGAAGAGAGAAGTGCAGCCATGATGGCCAGTGCAGATTCCTTCTCCAAACACGCCCATGATGTAAGCAACAGACATATTTCGGACATAAAAATCATCCTTTAAAGGGAACTTGACTTTGTCAGGGTTTTTTTGGTCAGAGCATACAGTGCCCCATTATCACCAACTTCTCAGAACATCGCTGGCTAACAGAGGGGTAAAAAAAAGTTTAGGCCCTGTTTACGTGGCTACGATACAATATGACTACAGAACCTCTTGATATGATTGTTTACACTGGTCTGGCGCAAGAGATTTTAAATGGAGCTACTGAATACAACTCCAGTCCCTGTACTACATATGCCAGGCCTGGGTGTGGTGCTGTGTCGCCCATGCTCTAACATACTAACACTGGAAGAATTTGAAGCGGAAGTTCTGAAAAGCTTGCAAAATGTAAACAAACGAAGAATGTCAAAAGAGAAACACAAAAAGACCTAAATGGCTAACTGTAAAACACTAAAGAGCCAAATTAACTTCTCCAGCATGGTCAGAAGCATGGTCAGAAGTAGCATAGCAGTGTATCGTATCACCTTGGTTTCTCAAACTCCTCCACTCTGGGATACATTTTTGTGTAAATGCACGGTCGAATCGGCGATGTAGTGCCAGGATCTGTAGTTGAATGAAGATAGTATTCTAAGTCCCTGATTAGAGTTTACTTACTGATTTCTGACTCTTGTTTTGTTTTTCTTTGTGCCTTCAGATGATGCTGAAGTACAAAGATAAGAAGTGGTACCAGCTCTGATGGGCAGCGTGTGGAGCATCAGACTCTGTAATCACGCACACACCACACATATTTGTGAGGTGTCGCAGGTTCTCTCTCTTCTTCTTTTCTCCATTTCTGTCCACGCCGGGTTCTGCTCAACAGACTCATGCTTTTATTCTCAGCACAAAACCCCTCACCCAGCATTACATGTGTCACTGGAGGACCGCTGAGGAGCATACGCTGCTCAACCCAGCGCTGCCAGAAGGGAAAAGAAATGGAGGAAGAGGAGGAAACGGAGGAATCTCTTTTTCCATTTTCAGCGCAGAACTGTGGAGTTCATCAATATCACTATTCAGAACAGAGGGGCAAAGGATTCAGTCATGCGTTCATATATATCTCACATATATCTATATACCCTGCTCTTACGTTTCCGAGAAAAGGAAGACACTTCTGCGAAACATGTACTTGTGGTGGCCTGATTGTTCTTTTGGTTTTTTCTTAATTTCTACCTTTCTCTGCCCTTTATGGTGTCTGCCAAACAAAGTGGACCGAAATGAGGAGACAAGTCTGATGAACCTGTGTGCTCTGAGTTTAATCAACTCAACAGGAGTGATTGTATCACTGAACGACTTCCCACTTTTTTGTTTCTTGTCTAAATTATTATTTTCAGAGGTAAAATTCTGTCCTTTTGATTGTCTTTTTTTTGTCCAGAAAGGGCCTTTCGAAGCACTTAAAACCATTAAATAAAAAACAGGGAGAAGATAAATTATTGCCTCTCACTGAGTAAGGGCTGGTAGTACACTAGTTCATCTCATACTGCTGTTTTCCTCCAAGAGTTTTTCATTCAAGTTAGGGCCTTGGAAGAATAAGCGGCATGTTCTCTGAGAGTCACTTTAGATTTTATTTTAAGTGGAGTTATTTATTGGGACAGTATAATAGTTCAAATATTTTTTTTTTGGCATTACATTTTGTTTCCGTCTTTTGTTCTTACCCTGCTGACAAGAGTTTACATTAATCTATGGTGGAGAAACCTAAAGGTAGAAATGAAGAGTTCATACACTGGAAAGAAAATCCTGAAGGTTGTTACGAAATTATATAAATGAAGAAGACGAGGCATAAAATTGCCCTTATTGTAATTAACATAAATGTATATTTTGGTTAAAATTTCAATTTTTTGTGATACAGATTTTATCTATAGATGATGGCTATCTGTTCATGTTTTCTGTCTGTCATTCATTTAGGTCTGGTGTAGGAAAAAAAAGCATGTGTGTCTTAGCACATTGGAAACTGTCTCGTCTTTGTAGCCATCGGTAGAAACGACCGAGCATCGCTGTGTCTGTCACAGTAACGTCAGTCGTCTTTTGTCTCTTGCCTTTGCCTCATAATGCATATGCTCGAGCCTATTTATGTGTCCATCTTGTTTGTTTTTTTTAGTTCTGCATAAATTACATTTACATTTATGCATTTAGCCTGCGCTTTTATCTAAGGCGAATTTCAAGAAGCTTGGCGTTGTTTCCCAAAGTGACTATCTAGAATCAAACAGACTTCCCCTTTGTTTTCATGAGGTACTACGCTACAATCTGTGTCAGTGTAGGAGCATCATCTTTTCTGCCCTCGACTAGACCAACGTCCGTTCCATATGCTGCCAAATGTTGTAAATAGCAAGGACGGCTGGACACAAATCTGACAGCGCAGGTTCAGGCAAGGTGCATCATACGCTTGCGGCCATGTTCTTTTTCGACACCAAAGAGTTGCTTAATTTCACAGAGTTGTCGTATGATTGGAGTCAGCTTGGTCCCTATTGAACAGCAGTTTTAACAGAGAAATCTTAAGAGTTTTCAAGTTGTTGTGTTTGAGGTCACTGAGTTCTGTTAGTGGGAAAAACAATAATGTAATATTTTGTCCAACGTAGACAAAGTTGTTGGACTTGTTTACAAACACTCTTCCCAGGCCAAACAAAAGGAGCAGACTGTTAGATCATGCTTTTAGGCTTGTTAAAAATCCCTGTTACACATTGTGGCTGTCATCAGCTATTCTTGGAGTTCAGGGTTTTTTTTAAGATGGAGTTGGGGTGTATTTCAGAGAATAGAATAGTTTTTTTTATTATTATTCTTGGCTACTACTTCATGCAACTGAAATTTGAATTTGTAGATTGAGCTTCCATGTTCTTTTTTAGATTACGTAAAAATTATTTTAAGCTGTCATGTATTAAAAACATAAACAAGATTTAATTAAAGTATAGAGTCAGCCTCTTCTGGTGTATAGTGGTACTACAGCCAAACTTACACTTCACTGTCAAAATGAAAAAGGATGTCCATCTTGTATTTTATACTTTATCACAAGTGTTTGAAATATTAACACTGATGATTTACATCGTATCCATTTTCTTTTGGGACATCACTGTCAGCTTCTAACTCCAATGTTATAAAAAACGTATCACATTGTGCTTATACAGGCAGTTACACACCTGTGTTATTTCTAGACTTAGGTTTGGACAGCATTCAGGACTGGCATGGACGTAGTGTGTCATTTTAGTAACCACTTCATGTTTCATAGAACATGTACTAATATTTTGAACATTTTAACAAAAACCAGTCTGCCCGCTTTCTGTTACTTTAACAGAAAGAAACAAAACTCACTGACCATGAACAGCAGCAATACTTGACAAAGACAAAGTTACAGTTTAGGATTGAAAATGTCTTTTTCTTCTGTTGTGGACAAAGGCGTCACTCATTACCGCACCAAGTTGCTGTAGACTTATTTGAATTTACAGACATGAAATCCAATTTACGAGATACTGTGAGATGTTTTAAGTTCGATTCCTTAGGTTTACTTAGACACATAGTGAAGTCTGAGATATCGGTTTAACCAAAAAAATAAGAAACATACAAAACTAATAAGCAGCAGTTTTAAAAAAACAAAATCCCTTCACATTTATGCTGACTGATTTAAACCTGTGCTACTATATCCAGTACTACTGAGAGAAACATAGTCTAAAGAGAAGTCAATGTGGGTTTTGCACTATTTTTTGTACTTAAATAAGAGTTTTGTTGGAATGATTTCACTGTGTTATTTTGTTTGTGTCCCATTTTATTATTTTTGAAGGGACCAAAACATGACAGAACCTACTATGCTTATTTGTGTCATTGCCAATTATGCTAACTGCTTCACTCTCAGATTTGTTTTCGATGCAAGATCATAAAGACCATGATTATATTTATAAATATGAAAACAAATATAAATATATATATAAATATATAAATACATTTTAATTTAAGACTTATTGAAAAATGACAACCTTTAATGTAAATTTGGGAGAGCGTAACCTACACATCAGTGTCCAAATGATGGTTGTGTATAACGATTCAATCATCCCGACCTGACAGTGAACAGTTTCTGGTTATATATAAACACGCGCTCATCTCTGATTCAAGCTTTGCTATTGCAGGGGGCGTCGTCTCCTCTCAGCGGGCCGCTCTGACTTTCTACGAACCGTGGCCTCGACTTTGAAGTGCTTCAGTTTGCAACGTATATGTCCTAAATGGTCTCTTATTGCACATTGAAGGATGCATGATATTAAGTGTTTACAAACTTGAAACGACCATGTATTATCCCTGTTAGAGATTGTCTGTTCTGTCATTTATATTTACCACCACGTTGAACAAACCCCTCCCTCACACTAACGTCTCATCACACACATTTAAGCCGTGTCCATTTTCTTGTTTTTCTTGGTTTGATGATGCCAATTTTATATGTGTGAGAGATTTATCTATTTATTTTATTGGTACCTCTGTTTCTGTTACTGTTCTGCTTCATGGAAACTCGTTGCTTTCCCTGCACTGTAAAAAAGGCATTGAATTATCATCTCAGTTCAAGGCTCCATGCAGGAAGCTGGAGGGTTTCTGACTCACCATCCATCCATCCATCCGTTCATCCATCCCCATCCATCTGTCTTCTGGGATGAATATCTGTGGAGTTGCAGTATTTTCTCATAGTAGGCAATTTTTGTACAGTTTATTAAAATAAATTTCACATGGATGTCTGACTTAATCTGCTGCCACAAACAATTTAGACTGTAGATACAATATATATATAGATATTATTGTGCAATGGAAAATAAATGTAAAACCAATCACAACACAGTTGTCCTGTGTTTTATTCATTCATTTTTACCATATACAATCCTCCAGGGAAGAAAAGAGTGTGATGGTTAGTTTGACTTCCTCATGAGAAGAGAGTACACAGTCCTGGGTTTGGTTCTTAGAGGAACCACATACTTGGCGCCTCTGAGTGGCAACCTGTTGCATTATTATTATTATTAGTAGTAGTAGTATGAATAATAATAATAAACATATTAAAATAATAGTAATAACATTAAAATTGAATTAATCATTTAAAAAAAGAATTCTCGTGGAAAAATTATGTTACTATAATTTAACCTAATGTTTTTACTTTAATTTGAAAAAAAAAAGGTTTAGATTAAAATTAAGAACCTTTTCTCCAACAGCATCACATATGTTAAACAAAAAAGAAAAGTTAAAATAATAATAAAACAATATTTTTTTCTAAATACAAGTATTCCTTTTTTTTTTTTTTTACATTGTTTTTCAGGATATCCTGCAGGTGGCGACAGTTTCTGCCAGATATCCCGTGATGCAGTTGGGCTTGCTCTCTTTCTCCTCCTCCACGGTTCGTCTTCCACACTCAGCAGCTGCATCATTCACAGCCAGTGACAGAGTGGCGGCAGCAGCGGCAGCGGGAGCTACCGTAGTTTCTTTTCAGACTGCCGTAAACTTTGAAAACGTCCAGACACCGGGCTGGAGTGACGCAGTGACAAACAGGTAAAAATAATGCAGTTTTATTGTGTTTTTCCTCTGGTGTTTTGCAAAACGGTTACATGGAGAAAGGTGTTGTATGTGTGTGACATTAAGCTTCATCTCTTTATCTGTTGCTCGGCGTGAACATTTATCACAGGTGTAACAAATAAAACAGATCTAAACGTTTAAATAACCGTCGGCATCTTTTTAAACTTCAACTTAAAACCTTTCATGAACTTAGAAGAAGCAGTCGGTTACTCTGCGTCTAGTCATATTTAGTTACATACTATATATGTAGCCTTTTAACAAAAACAAAACAAAACAAAAAACCCAAAAAACTAAGACTATTTCTAAAACGATAAACATGCTTAGGTTGTTCATTATTATAATTCCACAAGGTTAAATAAATAGGTAAGTGTCTTTGTTCCAGAAGAGTAGCAGTTATTCGTGTTAAATCAATATTATCAAGTACAGCTCAACAATAAGGTTAGGATTTCCTGAACACAAAGATATTTATTAAACAGTTCTGCGAACGTGTTGCTAATGTAGTATTTGCAATGAGTGTGATTCTTTTTTAAAAAGCGCGCGTTTTTGTTTCGATTCGTCCTTTTATTAAGTTTATGCATCAAAACCTGCCAAAAGCGGGGCCTGCAAACAAGTTTGTGAACCGCTAGCATAAGAGAAGTTTCCAGTAATGAGCTAATAAAAAACAAACACAAAAACAATTTAATAAATGTCGGCGTCAATATCTTAGAACCATGTCCTTCTTTTTAAGTTTGCAAATCTCTCTGGAACCTGGACTCAACAATTAATGTTTGTGACACCAGGGCATCTGATGCACTGTTTGGTATGTTTATGTTGACTTTAAATATAAACAAGTGCAAAAACATGGAATTCAGAGTGAATGTTGCTGTAAATAGTTGTTTGTGTTATCTTTCTTTGGCAAATTGTCCAGAGTACTGCATACTCTTCCAGATGATGTTAAAGTTACCATTAAAAGAACCTTTAACAGGCTAGAGTAGTAAAATATGGATTATTCAGTTCTGAAATGAACTAAATACTGACATTTTAATCTTATGTTTAATTTTCCCCCAGCTTAAAGACATCTCCACAGAATTCTGTCTGGACCTGTGTGTGCAGTGGGACCTATATGAGACCCTCATTTCAGCCCAGCATCATTAAAATGAAGATAAAGTGCATGTAAGCCAACCCTCCTCCTTTCCTTAAAATGAGCCAAGGGCCAAATCTTGTCCTTGAGTGGCTCACAGAGCTCCATCTGGCCCAGTACCTGGAGTCATTCATCGACAACGGATACGACGACCTGGAGGTTTGCAAGCAGATCGGAGAACCAGACCTGGATGCCATCGGTGTCGGCATTCAGTACCACAGACACCGGCTCCTCACTGCAGTGCAGGCGCTGAAAGAGGGTGACAAAAGAAAAACACCAGGCTATTATTTTATCCTGGAACCCGTGGATGCCTCGTCCTGCCACGACACTTTATTGACCAGCAGAAAAGAGGACTTCAGAGTGCGGAGGACACACACAGGTGCAAGAGAGACGCACCAGATATCCTGTCCTGGAAACCATAACCTGAGATTTACGGACTGTAACGACTTTGTGACCTACCCCAAACTGAAACTGAAGGTTCTCATTAGGGATAAACTTTCAAAGGATGGGATTAATCTTGGAGAAGCACCGTACACACACAAGGTAGGTCTCTTTATTAAGTCATATGACAATATAACAAAATGTGTTACTAAATGCTTGCTTTTGAAGCGCTGTCTTGTGTAGTTTAAGGCAGTCTTGCTGTCATGAATGTGTGTCATTTCTTTGATGACGTGAGACGACCTTGATTGCTGCATGGAGTCTTTGGTATCATTGGGAATGGCCTGCTGGGATTCAATTAAGTGTCTTAATTTACCTAAAACATTTGATGTTGGAAAACCAAGTTACTTTTAATTAGTTTGAGTTTAATTGTGTGTGCTATTGCTGAAACAGTGTACTAATCCTGCTTCTGTGTTTTACATAATCGTCAAAATTAGGTCTTTTTGACAGAGCATCATTTCATTGAATTTTTTTAAGTTGTTGTTTAAATTATTCCTTTCTATATTGTTGTGTGAGGGAATTTGTGGCGCTTGCTACACACACCACAGCAAGGGCAGGATTCGAACTAGTGATCCAGTGGTACAGGCCTGATTCTCTCACTACCAGGTCCAGGCTGCCCCTGAAACAAAGTAGATTTAAATAATTAAAACAATTAGAAATTAAAAAAATGTATGTATAATTTACTTAACTGCTGTCCATCTGCTCCTCCTCCAACTTTTTTAAAACACTAAGCCAGAATGCGTATTTGTTTTTTTAAGTGATCAGTTTTAGTCAACATATTGCACAGTCCCAGTAACAACACAACAACATCCTTTGACCTCTGTGGAGAGATGTCAGTAGGACAATGTATCAGACGTCCCCAGTGACAGATGTCCTTCTGACCTGATGTTTATGGTTCTGTGGGGATTGTCTCTGTTCTGACAGCAGTCACCATCTGTGGTCACTGTAGAGGTTATAAGTGAAAGTGATTACAGCGGATACAGTAGTCATTCTGCTTTGTATTGTACACATCCATTTGGTACTTAGTGTTTAATCTCAGGCCACTAATTCCTCTGTAAAATGTTAAGGTGTCACTGATAGACACAGAATGTAACGATTTTGCTGAACTCTGGCAATTCTTGTAAAGAAACATGCAGTTCTGTTAGAAATAAGGCTTTAATTCATGTTGCAACAGATTTTCTGACTAAATCCCTGCTAAGCATCAGTGCTACAGTAGACACCACCCACAGAATGTCTTGTACACATTCAGACCTACTGTAGCTCTGCACTCCTGAGCTGTGGCAGTGACCCATAACAGGATAGTTCCTCTAACACTCGTCTCTCTCTCTTGTTGTTTGCGCTCCTTCCTCAGCTGATACTAATTTAAAATGCTGCTCATCAATAATGAATTAATCTTGTGCAGCGGACAGATGCAGCTTTCCAGTTTGATTGGACTGATGTGTGTCATAACCCACCACCGGCAGTGATGATTTATCTTTATGTAAAGTTTCTAGTTGTGTCAAAATAGATGATATTGTAGTTTGGTGTTTATCTCCAATTTAGGTTCTACCATATTTACAGATGAGCTAAGTTGAATTTTGCCTTTAAAATACATTTGTTCCTGCCACCTCTGCAGCTACAAGCACAAGTCCTTTGTTAAAAATTCAAACTGTACAAACTAGTGAGTGAAAATGCAATTTGTGGTTTATTTCCAAGCTTTTCTAAAAGTAGTACAGTTATATTTAGGGATGTCCAATAATATCGCCGAACCGATATTAGCATAATTATGGAATATCTGTAAGAATTGTTGGTTTTTCCTACGATAATGAAAATCCAATTATGCAAGGCTTGGGTTTTGCCAAATATGCTGGAATCGCGGGTGGGGTCCTAAGACGTTTACCACAGATATGGGAAAAAACTGCTGCATATATCGGTATCGGTTGTTATCGGAATCAGAACTTGGAGTTTGGACAGTATCAGGTCAGCAAAAAGTTCATATTGGACATCCCTAGTTTAATTTAACTGGAATATTGGAAAAAACCTCAAAATTTTTGGAGCAAAGTAAATCAATGTGAGCCTTTATTTTTTTCGTCATAATTCCACGATCAGTTTGTTCATGGTTTTATTATTATTATTATTATTATTATTATTCAATAATAGACCATCAAAAACAATCTTAAAGTTGATCAAAACTGCTTTTGTTGGCTACTAAGGAGCCAACAAAAATAAAATATAATAAAATATCAGACCACATTGTTTTGGCACGTTAGTTTCATTTAAGAAAGTCATGAAACAGACATACTCATTAATCCTGTATTTGTCGACCAGTTGACTTGCATTATCTAAACGAATTCAGAAAAATTCAGGTCATGCCGGGGGGACCTCTATGTGATAATAGTGTTTTGGAGCATTTTTTCACGCAGGTTTATTAGCTGTCGTCCATATAACAGTTGCAGCAGGTATGTAGGCCAGTCCAGCATATTTCCTCACCAGGAATAGCAGAGAGTAGCTCCAGGCTAAGTCTGCCTCAGCCAGCAAAACTACTCCATTCTGCCAAATGACATTAGTTTTGTCATTAGGGATGCATTTGGTATTGAAAAATAGAAACATTATAATTGTAAGTGTCCTTGTCATTTTGCCTTATAAATAACATTTCTAGTGCGTGACCAAATTACCGTAGTGGTCACAGTAATACCTCACCCCACCTCCCCTTCCCCTTTTCTAAAAAAAAAAATTAGGTTAGTGGTTTGCAGAGAGACATTTTTAAAGTAAAATGGATTGTGAGGGACTGCAGACTGATTAACATTGTGGAGGACAAGGGCTTCACCAAACTTTTAAACATGTTCCACTAGCCACAGTCACAATGGAAAGTAATGTTATGATTTTGTGTACTGTTCTTTACATTTTCCAATATTAATAATTCCATCATTTGGATTTATCTCAATTAAAAAGAAAAAATAAGAAATTATTATTAATGATATTTAAAATTATTTGACAGCCCTAGTTATTATTGGTATTATATGTGTGATGTAAAAGGCCTGGCCTATGCAGGTGTTAGTCAGGGACTATTATGTGTATCCAGTGCAGTAACTGCAGCAGTTTTACACTGTCATCCCACATGTGCTGTGCAGCTCAGTCTGAGTTTGATAGTGTAGTCAATTTCTAATTACTAATGTGCTCTTGATTATTCTGCTGCAGTACTGGTTCACACATGCCTGTGGCACCTATTGGTGACTATTGGGGGAGAGGAGGGGGTTAATGGGATTAAAGCTGGTTGATCTGTAATTGACCTAAACACTGGCAGCACACTGTGTGTGTTGAACATATCCTGGCATTATTATGATGATGATTGTGATAAACAAAAGTCTAGATGTTTTGGTGGCTAGGCTTAAACTGATCAGAACCCCTCACCCCCTCAAAATTTCTGGCCCCAAATCAACTTCACAATGGGCATGCGAAATCAAAAACTGTTGAGCAGTAGGTCAGCAGACAAACACATCTTCCAGTCCCCTCTTTTTGACAGAAGAAAAGTCAGTGTGAATAGAGTTTAGCAAAGTACACAGTGTGCAGCAGCTGACATCTGTCTCTGCTTTTGTCACTGTACCAACGAGACTGAATGGATTTCTTTTAGTCCAATTATGTTGGTTTGAAAACCAGCACAGATGTTACCTGGTTGAGCAAGAGGCGTACCTTTAAATAAAAGAGCACATTATATTTCATTTGTGATGATGCATGTTGTCCTTTAAAGTTTCCCTTTATGAATGAAATTGTAACATGTTAACAGTGGAAATTAATTTGTGAAATCAGATATAAAAATATTCACCATATTTTAATGCATTAGCAGAATGAAAGTATATATTTATTAATTGTCCTGTTCATTCACTCATCGCTTCTTTAATACACAGTCACAGATCACAGTCAGTACATAATAAAATAATTATAATAATATATAACTGGGTCCTCTGGGGCTTGAACGCAGGAGGATGTAAGGCAGGCAATTCTACTGAACTCTGGTTTTATACTTGAGTACTGTAATTCATTGGGAAAAGGTCTCCTTTTTGGCTTGTATTAAAACAGCATATCTTGTCTAGTGCATAACGACCCATCATGTTTTTGTTTTGGTCTGGTCGCATTGTGGTCCTCTCACAGCATCAACCATTTATCCATTACTGCTTCTTTTTTGCTAATGTAGTTCCCTGTTGGGTAGGTTGACCTATGGACCCTATTCATGTCATGTCCAAATGTATTAGGTTAAAGCAGTGGGTCATAAAGAAATATAGCTGGATTATTGCACTGAGGTCAATGTTGGGGGAGTGGTTGAACAGCCTTGCACAGTGCTTTCAGTGGCTTAACATGCCATGAACACGCTCGTCGCATATGGTTTGGGACTCTGTAAATTCCTGTCCAGCTTGTTATTCACAGAGCAGCCTGGCTCTGTTCTCCTGTGGATGTGGCACGGCTGGAAAAGCCGGCACATATTCAGCATTGTCAAATTACATCACTTTGGAGTGAATATCAGGGATGCAAATGTTATTCACACGAGGGATGCTAAGCCATGTATAATGTAAAAGCCTCTTGCTTAGCATGGCATAATCTTTGACCTATATTTATTAATTTCAGATACAAATATCCACTATCAGTGGACAGGGAGTTTGAGACAGATGCTTCCGGTAGATTAGTGTAATATATATTGTGCATATTATTGGATATCATGCCGTGCAAGCCCACATGTGCATTTTTTTCAACCAAAAAAAAAAAGTACAAAGAAACACTCGTCAGCCGCCTGCGTTCACCACACTGATGCTCTGCTTTGTACAACAATGTTAAGTAGGTCTTTGAAAATATCTGGCACCCTCTGAATTCAAATCACCATGCAGTAGAGAGAAAATGCCCTGCGCTTGGGGCGAACACTTGAAAGAGAGTGAAGGGCAGAAAAAAGAAGTTTAATTCACATTGATAATGGATAATCCAGGTCTCACACGGCCTTCTGAATGCTGGGAACTTCTGGTCCTAATGAGTATCTTTGAGTCGGCTACTTGGCTCCCATGGCAGAATATCAGATCAGTATTCACCATGTTCAAAGGTGCCAAATACATTTCTTACCACCCCTAAATGTTTGCCACGGT